AGCAGGAATCAGAATTTCAGTCAAAAGTATATGTAGATATTCAAAGTAAAGACTTGAATTTTCTTTAGCTTTAGCAAGTTGTTACAGAGGAACAACAGCTTTTAGGAATAAATGCCTCTCTGTGATCATCTCTTGGAGCTTAAATGAGCCTTCTACACTGTCTTTTTTAACTTGCTAGTAGTCTATGATGTTGGCTGGTTTCTGAACTGATTATCTCACACACATTCAGATAAATTGAATTTTACAAGATACGGCTGGAGAAAGCAGTAAACACAGTCTGCAGAAAGCCCTGTGTCCTTGTTTCTGTTCACAAAGTACAGCAAATTTGTTAAAAAATGGTTTGAATTAGGAATACTTTTCTTACTAAGATTATTAATTAACATTGTTATTAATACCACTATTTGTATTTGTATTCACTATTTGTAATCAGCTTTCTCTTTTTCTTTCTCCTTTCCTTTTCTGAAAATGGCTGGCTAGGATATTCGAGCTGAATGTACAAGTATAGCTACATACAATATAGCCACAATTATCTACATTTACTTATTGAAATGGCATTTTCATGCATGCTGAGTAGTTGCATGCGTTTGTTCTAGTGTGCACATGCGTTAACCTGACATGGTGATGCAAACACAGATGCATTTTGTTTTGTGCATGCATTTTTGGATGCACCTTCATCAATCATTTGAAAATCTCAGTTCTGACGAGATGAGGATGATGTTCTGCTAAGCAGAGCATTATTTCTAAAATATACCCCTTTTCTATTGTTATCCGTAGTTCACTATGCTGATCAGTCTTTCTTGCATTCGTCTGTCCATGCTGGCCTTTGAGTAGTAGATCCAAATTGTCGTCATCTGATGGCAAACTACAGCAAGTACAAAATAGGCTGCATATTTCTATCCAAAGGTCTTCTGGCAGAGGGGAGCCCATAAGGAAACTTTCCCAAAGGGATCGTGCTTGGTTGTTATCAGATTTTGAATGGTAACCCTCATTTTCCCCATTTATGGAGGCTATTTTAATTCGTATGTTCTTACATTCTTTGGTTTTAGGTGAGAAGAATACCGGTTGCAAATTGCGGTAGATACGTTTCTGAGCAAGAATGCTTTTCTGCAAAGGATCCCTACTGTGGGTGGTGTTCTTGGAATCGAAGGTATTTTTTGGCATTTTAGACTTTCGTATAAAAACAATGCATTTTTAGTCAGTGTACATTTTGACTGGCCTGGGGCTATTCAGCATCAAGATTGTATCTCCTGAATTTTTACGGAATCAATCATAGCCATAAATGTGAGACACTTTATTATCATATGAAAGGAAGGTCTGCACTTTTAAAGATCATGGTAACCCTCAGATTTTTGAGGTCTACCCATAAAATATATGTTGGGCTAGGACGAAGAAATTATTTTTATTTTAGAACGTATGTTTTTGCTTTCCAGATTGATTAAGAGATAAAATGGTATACTCGTGCTTGAAGCATCTTAATAGCTGGGAGCATCTTGCATGTAAGAATGAGGAAAGAGGGCTCAGCTGTCTTCAGGATTCATACTTCCTTGCCCTGGAACCACTGCCTGTAGTTTAGGCCAGAGGAGAATTTCTTTCTAAAACTCCTCATCCTCACATTTGAATCATTATTTTTGCTGCTTTCTTTGAAGCAGGTTTGAAAGCATCTTTGGCCCGGACTGCAGAAATTCCTGGGTCATCGAGTCTAGTCTTAGCAATTGCAAGGGACCCCATCATGTAAACCTACTCATAAACTAATCAAGGACCATCCTTAAATTCAGATAGGCTTTTTGTCCTCCCTGCCCTGGTTGTGTGGCTATCTGAGAGTTTCATTTTTCTGCTGGGTAAAATCTGTCTGCTCATTTTCATCACATGTGTCTTCATGGGCAGGTTATACTCACTTGTTCTGGTGATTGCATCACCTGGGATTAAATAGGTTTCCCCCCCCTCCCTCACGCTTACCTCCTCAATGTTTTTGTGAAAGCAGTCTCTTTTCTTCACTTTCATTTCGGTGTGCTAAACCAGCTAACTTCACTAAGATTCTCTCACATAAGACACTCCTTTCTTAGCTCTGCTCCACTAGCCCTTCTGTCAGTTTTATCCATCCTTTTAAAATAAGGATGTCGAGGACTGTCACAATATTCCAGAAAAGATTACAGCGGTGCCTTGCCCAGTGGTGTTTAATCAGTCTGTCCAGGAAGCACCTTACTTAGTGTGTCCTGGGATCACAAATGTCTTTTTCATGACAGCATCACATTGATGGGCCACAATCATCTGTGATCGAATAATGCCCCCAGGTCCTTCTCTTTCTTTGTTTTCTTTCCAACTGATGAGTTTCCAGGCTGTAAAACATATGCGTTGTGAGATTTTTATTGCTCTAGGTACATATTCTTGTACTTTATGCTTTGAAATGTCATCCCATTTCAAGGTTGTCCAAGTTTTCCTGTGTGATATTCTCATCTTCCTCTGCATGGTAATGTTCCCAACTTGGTATCATCAGCAGATGTCGACAGTGTAAACCTTCTTTTATGCCAGTTCCTCAGTGATTAAAACCTTAAACAAAAGTGGTTATAGGATTGATTTTTGAGGAATTCCACTAGTAGCTGCCTTTTAGAAAGTTAGTACAAGCTATTTTGGTTTGTTTCAATGTTAATGTGATTTTGCTGAAGACCTGCTGCTCTTTTTTGCAAAGAGAGTAGGTGTTTATTCTGTGATGTGTTTTCTTCAAACTCTCTTTTGCTATCTTGGTAGAAACGGTATAAGTTACAGTGCTAAGCTTTTCAGGCTTTTAGTTACCTTGTAAAGCGTTTGTGGGTAAAAGTTGTTAGTCAGTAAATCCCCTGTTTATGGGGGGAATCACCAAAAGTTTCCATCTGGTTGAAACAGAAATAATTTACTCTTGTGGAGAAAAGATGAATTACTATAATATGTATCCCGTTCAACACCCACGTAATTTTTCACTGTTAAGCACTTAGTGTCATTAAATACTTGGTTTTGTGAAGAGAGAGCTCCAAGTGAAGCTTTAGAAAAAGTGGAAGGCATCTTTTTGGCTAATATTTTAGTCACAGTCCATACATGTCCACTAAAGCAATATATTCCATAATAATTTTGAGATCAAGGATATGTTTTAGACTCTTGCTGGGAAAGAAATTTTATATTAAATACGCACTCCATTTTTAAAATCAAACTTACCAGCAGTGCTTCATTTTAAAGACCGTGTGAACTGAAATCCAGCATTTCGATGAAAAAATCTGCAAATGTTATTGCAAGTGAAAACAAAATGAAACAAAATGTTTCCGTTGTTCCTATTTGTAGTCTTTCTTCCACAGGGACAAATATATACCTTCTTTTTTTCACTTACAATCATTCAAAACAATTAGTCATAGCATTGTGTGATTTCTCTTAATGTTTACAGATTTTCTGTAGATGAATCAGATTTACCTGAAGTATGCTGAAATTATTCCAGTACAAGGCACTGATGTTTTACGTGTATTTTCCATACAGAAATAACATTATATTTCTTAGTTATTTGACATTACCAGAATTACTTTTGAATTTGGTCAGTGTGTGTGACATCTGTGGACTTCATTCAGGGGCTGGTACCTTGGAAAAGGATGCCAAAACTTTCTCTGAAGCCATGTTCTCATTCTTTGAGGAAATCAGTGTGCTTTATAGCAAGGCAGAGAGGCCAAACTCAATAGGATCTGTAGTTAATACGAGATTAGTGAAGCGGAGACTTAAGTAAATAGGAGTGAACCAGTACGCATAAGGTGTCACATTATCATAATGAAATAAGAGGAGCTCAGTTCCAGTTGTGAAGAGGAATCTTTAGGAGGATAAAGAACTAACTTGCTGTGAAAGATTTAAAAATGTCTTGACTCTGCTTTTCTCTGTACACATACCTGTGCATGTCTGAAGTCTGCTCCTAGGGTTTCATGCCTTAAGCCTTCATACTTGTATAGGGTCCGGTTCAGTCCACCTTTCCAAGAAAGCCAGACTCAGTACTTGTCTGCATCTGTATTTTAATTTTTGCAACCGTGTCGTTCACAAATAACATTTATCTGTTAAATTCATTGCAGTCTGCTTGCAAACAATATCAATTGTATAAAAGTCAGGCTATAACAAAATAATCTCATCTTCAGGTGACTGGAATTCATGTTACTCTTGGCGTGTGCAGGGCAGTTGTGAGAATTTATGCTGAGGGGCGTGAGAGGCTCTGCTGTCCCCTTTGCCGCTGCTTCCTACGAGATGACCATTCTCCATAGCAGATTGTTTGAGTGTTAAAGGTCAGCTTTTAGAGCAACAAAAGACACATTTTTCCTGGCACACAAGCGTGACCCAGGGTTACTTTTTTTGCCAGTGAACTCTTAGCTTCTTCATTGTAGATAAAGGGAAACATGTTTGCTGCTTGTGTTCCTCAGGCAGTCTAGGAAGGCAAATAACTGTCCTAGGACAGTTTTAAATTTTCAGCTTTACAAACAGTTCTCTTTTTTATATTTTAATATTAGTGTCACTGAAATGCATATACTTATTTAGTGCCAAGTCTTGCAATTGTGTTGCCTTGCATCTTCAACAGGATGATCCTTAGCCTGTCAGAAACTATAGGATGTCTCTTTCTTGTGCGTCATTGCCAACTTATCTGCCCGTACATAGCCGAGCATCTGGTTTGTGCACATCTATTGATGACAGATCCCATCCTTGGTGGACCTAAAACTGTAGTGCTAATGGAACTTTGTGATCTCAGTAAGGTGAAGAGAGATATAAATGAGGCTGAAATTTGTCCTACTTCAGACAGTTTGAAATATGTCAGGCAAAGTCCCAATTTCTTACAGTATAGTTATGACCCGAATGTATTTGGATGCAAAGCCTCATCAGGCTCATGTGCAGCAGTTTCCTGAGTCAGACCACAAAGGAAGTGACCTTGTGCTTAACTGCCTTCCAGTTGCCAACACCTTGGTCTACAGAGAAGGTGGCTTTATGGTTTCTATGGTTTGTGGGGTTATTTTGGGCATTTTGAAAAGTGGTGGATATTTTTTCTTGAAAGTTGTTCTTGTATTATTCCTTTTGGAGAGAAAACACATTGTGCAATACATTTATGCAGTGACCTCCTCGTGAAAAAGGCCCATGTTTTGCAAGTATCATTTCTAGTTTTTAGCGAGGGAATAGTTCACTAAGGAGCGTGTCGCTGATCATGTGATTGAAGCTATACATGCTTCTATGGTAGAAAAACAGCACTATTAAAATAAAATGAAATGTTACGTTTATTTATAAATATTCAATCTTAATACTAAAATATTAAGATATATGCAGTTACCACGTACTGGTCTTTAATTGCTAGATATATGACATTACTTGGAGTTAATCTGTGGACCGTTCATTAACAGCAGACAGTATTTTAAAGATTCACCTTTCAAGCTCAGTGATTGTCCATCTAGTTTATATGGCTATGTCCTCTTTTTCTTATCATATGTTATTAAACACATGTAAAATTTGTAGTACCTGTATATCTCAGTGTTTCCTCATTCTTCCTTAATTTTCTGTCATGTAGTTTCTAATTCCTGCAGTATGGCATCTACAACATTTTTATTTACTTTGTGCCATCCTATTTCTGAACTGGATTTTATTCTTGAAGACAGAGAAACCTATCTTGAGCTGCCTTTTCAGACCCAATGTTTTTAACCAAGTGCACTGACGTAAAGGGGAAAGATTACCGTTCACATCGGTGGACAACAGAGGAGATTAGGAAGGAGGATGCGTCTCATCAACTATACACATTCATAGCATAGCTCTAAATCTGAGCTTCACTCCCATCTCCTCTTATACTCTTTGGAGAGACAAGCAGCTTCTGTAGTGTGATTCATTTCATTTTTGTGTGAATGTCAGAAAGAGGTTATGTGAATTGCACCCTGAAAGAGCATATTTCTCCTCACTGAGTGTAAAGGGAACCGGAGGGGTCAGATCTAGAGCTGTACAATGGTGCAATCAAGTTGGGGGAGACAAATTCTGTCCCAGGCTACCAAGTCCACTGTTACTGGCCAAGCATCTAATATTTGCTTGAGTCCCATTGACTTAATCAGGACCCTAGGGCATATGTCAATGCATTGTAATTTATTTGGATAAGCGGAAGATTTCACTGATTGTTTTCCTGAAGCTTTTTGCAGTTGTAACCATATTCCTGTAAAAAATCAATAATGTTCCTGTATAAAATCAATAGCATGAAATAAGTTGAAGTACAGTGTCTGAAGTCAAAGCCATGATAAGGAGGCTAGTATAATTTTACGTATACTTTTAGGTGCACATTAAAAGAAAATTGTACACGTTCAGACAGCATAAAGGGTTGGTATAACATTTCACGTGGACCTGATAAAGATCTGAAAATCCTACTAAGTTTCCCTGCCAAAAATCAGGTATGTACACCCGGTTTTATACATGTTTGTTTATTGTGACTTAAAATGTGTCATTCTGTCACTTATTGCAGCTCCCCTTCTTTTGTCACCACGTTCTACGTATGAGTCCCTTTTATCTCAACAATTGGCAAATGTATGAGAAATCCCAGTAAGTTGAATTTGTCGATCAGAGAGGTGTTCTCTTCCTCTCCTATAAATCGTAGCCTGAAGCTATACTTCATGATGTTGAGTCAAAAATTCAGTCTGCTGACAAAGGCAGCATTTCTGTTGTATCACTTTATCAGTGATTTTAGTATCTCCAGTGACTGTATATCAAGTGCATTATGTAAGTTGTGAGCTTTGTAACAATTTACAGAACATTCACATACACTAACACAAACGCGTCTTTAAGTGTTTGATGTTACTATTTACTCAGTATCTGTACACAGCACACACAGCCTTGAGTATTTGATTATCAAGTATTGTGACTGGCCACTTAATCTGCATGCTATTGTTTCTGATTTCCTGATTGAATGCGCTAATGCGATCATATTTGTAAAGCGCTCTCAGCCAGAAACAAAGGATAATTCATTACGAGATAGATTCTGTTTCATAATTAAGTGCACTTTGGTTATGGATGCAAACGTTGTCTCTCTGTGAGGATTTGTATGTTCTTGCTCAAATATTTTGAAGGGACTATAACAGCATATAATGTTTATAGCAAAATTCTTGTTTTGAAATCCAAAATTATTCCAGATTGCTCCCCTAACAAACCTTACAGATCCATTTAATTTCTGGAAGAAAGCAATAGTGTTCCTTTCAGGACTCCTTCTGTATTGCTGCTTCAGTTGGGAGAGGCCCTGTCCGTTGAGAGGTTACCTAGTGAATTGTCTGCTTCTGCCACAAAATCTTTCATTTTGTACATTTTATAGTTTGTAGTTTTCTGTAAAGACAAGGTGACGACTTAACAAGTATTACAAGAAATCTGTTGTATTCTTGGTTTTACATTTTTGTAGGTTTCCGTGGCTGCAAGCATAAGCAAAGTCCTTACTTCCTGTGTGATAAAAATTGTAAAACCCATTGAAATATTTTATGAAAATGTGGTGCTGAAAAACTCATCCTGTTTCTGCAATCTAACTGCTCCAGTGATAACTGATGATGGTATGTCTTACTGTTACATCTGTTTAATGCTTATTGACTGTCTTTGATTACTGTGGAGAACTGAGCATAAATACAGGCCTAATGAGTATGAGAATAGCTAATGCTTTTTATTCAATGTCGTTGAAAAAATATATTTATGTTTTGTCAAGTGATTTGAGTATGCTCACACTGTTACTGATAATTAAAGATTTGTTAGTATGGAATCCCTTCTAAAAGCATGTTAACCTATGGCTAGAAGAAACCTTTTCAGTTCATCCTATAGCAGTGCAGTGTTTTAGCATCAGGAGTGCATTTACATGGTGCCATCAATCACTGCCTGAGGAAACTTAAGATAACTACAATTGCAATCAAGCTGGCTGGAGCTGTGGAAGCAGTGTTGGTCCAGTTAATTTTACCAAATTAACCCATCTTAACCCTTCTCTCATCTGCAAACAGAATTTGTTTTTGCAAGAAACTGTACCAGCATAAATAAGAGGAGAATCTGACTATGAATGTCTGTACAATAAATAATCCTAACATTCAATTCATTGTTTCAGCCTAACTTAGATAATTGTGAGAAAGTGATTGTCTCGTGTAGAGGATTAGCAGAAGAATACATGGTTCAGGGGCAGTTTGACTGGTACATCTTTTTGACTTGATTTCATTCATCTTTCTGAATTATTGGGTGAATCATTTCGCAATAATTCTGACACTGGTTTGCTCTCCAGTAGTTCTCAGAATTAGAAACATGAGCCATTTGGATTGGATGCATGATGCATGTGATCTGTTTTATGCATCTTCTGGGCAACAGCAAGTTTTAGAATGAGGTGGTAAATTATCAATGTCTAGACTTTTGAGCTGTTCTCCAGGCTTTGGTCTCAAAGATCAGATGATAATCCTCCACAGGAGAGTCTTATTGGACTAATAGGAGGAAAACATCCACCTTGCATTGCTTCAGGAGTCTATAGAGAAGCACAAAGCTTTTTTTAATACAGTTTGACCTTGTACCTTTTTAAAGTTGCTTATGTTAGAATACAAAAGAGAGTTTTAGTTTAAACTGAGGGACAAAGATAGCAAGCTCAAGGATACCATGTGCTCTTAAGTGACTTGAAGAGGAAACAGAAAATTCAGACAAATGCCTGCCTTTATCTTTTCCTAGATAATATAGCCCAAAAGACATGTAATACTCTGCATGAATCTGATTCTTTTATGATACTTTTGTGTAGGAAAAGGAGTGAAATGTTAGCCAGAACTTACCATGACCTGTTGTTCTGAAGACCTCAGTGCTGCAAGGAGCTCTCTCTCAGGGACTCTTGCCCCTGATGGAGGTTCCTTGGAACATTTGGATCACAGAAGGACATCCTTTGTATGGGAAAAGCTCCTCTGGCATCATACAAGTGTTAAGTCAAGTTCCTGTCCAATATTGATTTGGGAATTGGAAGGAAAAATCTTTGTCACTAGCAGGTGACAGCTAAGGTGATATTAATGAGTGTTCTGGTCTATAAAGCTGTCTTTAGTAAAAACTATTAGTGGATTTTTAAGAGGGACAAATACATTAGAGAAGAAAAAAAAGTCCTTTATTGACCCAGTCCCAAAAGCTATGTTTTCTTGCAATTATGGAGTGCATTGTTTTGGTTCCCTGTCTTCTCAGACTAAAGCTTTTTCTTACTCTGTTAGCAGGTTTTCAGAGTGTTATGGAAGCTAGCTCACCTTGCCTGTACTTTGTGCCAAAGATGAGCCCTTTGACTGGTAACCAGAAGGCTGTGAGCTTAGCTTGTGTCTGCTGGTATTACTGCCATTCATGTGCTCCTATGAGCTGAGATGTATTAGTGGATAATGCAAGTGTGGACGTTATGTTGGCTATTTATGGTACCTCGTGTAAAGTGACCTCAGTCTCACGAGAAGATGCACTTGCAAAACTCCTTTGGGTATCATTTCTGGAAAAAAGCGTTTTGAAAATACCTGTTACTCAGTGCAATTTGAAAGGTCAGAAAGTAATGGGTTCCATTAATTTCAACATAGACAAAATCAGGAAACCGTATTTGATGGTGGTGTTTTTAAAGTATTTATACAAACTTAAAAGAGAAGACAAGCTCTGCTGGAAGCAGATACATTCCTTACTTTTACTTACTACTCCTAGTAAAATACTATTTTTCAGTAGTTTATGGATCGAGACCCTTCTCATATGACACAGGCAAGTGATTTAGGCAATTTTGTGCCCAATGTGTCAGGTTTCTGCAGATACATAGATTTCTGGACATGCAAGTATATGCTTGGTGAAGGATTTCAAAATGTCCATGTGTGCTTCTGCACATCTTTGGGCATTAGGACACTGTTAAAAACCATGCTTTTTGCTGTCTGTTTAGTCAGGTATTTAAGCATACGATCAGCTCCAAGGGCTGTTTCTAACAAGCAGTACAGGTGAGCTTTGCAGCGAGCACCCAAGTGCCACGCTGATGTGCAGAACTAGGAGGTACTTCTGATTTAACACTGTAGATGTAGCCAAAGCTGGTTTTCATCTGAACGAGCCAGCCTGTGATAAAGACAAAGCTTTCTCTACCTTTTCAAGGTAGGTATGCTTTAAATCTGTGCAACTTTCCTGGATTAAAAAGCTCTCTACTCCCTGGCGTAGGGAAGCCAGAAAAGTCTGCACACATGGGTTTCATTTGATCTCAGACAGTCATTCATTTCTCAGACGTACACATCTGCAGGCACACAGATGAAAGGGACCGTGGCTTAACTGGTATATATCTAACTCTGCTTTTCGATGTGGTATTCTGCTCATGGGAGAAGATACTCTTTCATTCCACAGCTGCCAGTGAATTGTCAGTATAGTAATTGCTAGCTGAAATAATGGCAAATTGACTCATGCAATCATAAAAGATTTAAATAGGATGAAAATTGCTACTGCGTAGATTACAAAAGAAGATTCTGCAACCAAGTCTCTGAGACAGAAAGAGAGAGAAGTAGGATATGTTGGGGTCTCTCGCATTAGAACAGTCTGTTGGCTTGAATCTGGGGTCTGGCTGTGCCACGGTATAGCACTGTGTGCTCTTCAGGAGATGACCTTGTGTCACTGCTCCATGGTAGCATTTCCTTATCTGTGTCCTGACAATAACATTACTTTTGTATGTCATGCAGTAGTGGTGGCATCAAGCTTAATTAATGAGTGTGTATGAAGTTGAGGAATAACTTAGCTGAAGGGTGCTATGGAAGGACAAAATCGAGTTATTTTTATCAGTCGAAAGTGTGAGTGAATGTGTGTATGACAGAAGGTGTGTACCATGTAGAGAACAGCTGAAGGCACATGAGCTTTCAACTCCATTATTTTTTTTACAGGTTTTTTTTTTTGTAATATCCAGCATATGTCTAACAGTCACATTTTTCCAGATTGTCTAGTTCTCGAAGCATCGCTGTCCTCAAGCTCTTGGAATATCACACAAACATTTCAGTTGAAAAAGTAAGAGCCTAATTCCTACTGAAGTTCATTGTGGGGTTTATGTTTGTGTGTGGGGAGGGAGGTTGAAGTATGATAATTCTTTTTTTATTGTTTTTTATGAAGGAAATACATTTCACTCAAGACAGTAAAGTCCATTTTCTTGGCCCATTTCCTTCTTCTCCTTCTTTTTTTCTTGTCCTTAGAACGCTACTTTTGATGACTCTCTTCTTTAACGGGACCCTGGCAGATAGCTGAAGGAGAGTCATTACAATTACTGAATTTATGACTAGTGCCTAAAGATATAATAAAGGATGACACAATGACATTAAAATCCTTTTTGTCCTTGTGAAAAAGGTGGGCCCTTGATACTCAGGATAAGACCTAAATCAGAGGAGTCAAGAGATTCTGTAAAAGTCACTTTGTGGAGCTGTTTTCTAATTGAGCTGAATGCAGTTTAAATGTGGTCTATGAGTAACATTAATACAATTAAACCAGAAAGTAATGTCTGATCTGCTAATAGGAATAATGAATACCTGTTGTTCTGTACACATTATTTTTCAGAGCCACACTCTTTATTGAGAGCTAAAACTTAGAAAGATCTGGCTAATGTATACTGTAGGTAACTACAGTGTTCCTATTTAGAATGCTCCTCTCCTGTACAAAGAGGCTAATTCATAGGCACCTGGGCTGAAATTGAACTCCTGCTTTTTGGGAAGTGGCACACCACCTGGAGTAACGCAGGGAAGGAGCTGTCTTTCTCTAAACCAGAGCATTTCTCAGCATGCATGGAGAGGGCATGCACTGCTCTTGGCTCTCCTCCATGCCGATTGATGCACTGCAAAGCAAGATAGGGACAAACTAGTCTCTAACAGGTGTATTTTTTGGTAGGAGAAAGCAATAGCAAACTAGCACTACACACAGAATGGAAAAAGGTCAGGCGAGCTGTGAAGGAATCAGTGTTGGTTGTCTGTCCTTTTCTGGTTAAAAAGTACTATCTGGGCACTTAGGTACTAGAGGAAAGCCACAGAGAAATAAAGGCCGAAGTGTTCCATCTGCTTCATGCTTTTTGGAAATTTATGACTCTCAGCATCTCAGCACAGATTGTATTTCATACTAAATTTGTCCTCAGGATAAGCACAACAGAACAATAGGCTTGGAGGAGAAACGCAGGTTATGTGTTTTATACATTTCATTACATGTTTGCCAGGTTGTTCTCTTGGGTTTGTGGTTTTTTTTTCTGTCACTTGAAATTTTGCATTCATGGCTGAATCTAGATTGAGTTCCTTATAAAAACTCTGTTTTCTGTGTTACCAGCTGCTCACAGTGTATACACAGGCTTGAGTGTGCCAGCTGTAAATGGACACGTGTCTCTCCTGCCACCACCTGCCAGGTGAAGTTTGTTGGGGAGGGCTGGAATCCTCCATCATGCCTTCTCCTTGTATTTTTTGCATCTGAACAGCAGTCTGTCTCTTCCTTGTCCTGACACAAAGAAATGCTGATTTTTTTCAGGATAGCTGTAATGCAGCTGCTTCCAAGAGGATCACCACTGCACAGAAAACCGAGGTTAGTTAGCATTTTAAGATAGACATTATTGAGATTCTGTGGGTTGGAGGAGAAATTTATGTAAAATGAGGGAGCTTTGCAGGAAGAATAGAGATGTGGATCGGGAGGCAGTCAATGGGTTACATAGAAAGGTATGTGGTCTGACACTATTTTTTCTTAATGCTTTGTTGGTGCTTAAAGGTACCAACAAAGATTTGCATTTCAGATCTGGGCATTGGGACAATGAACACTGCAATAGTCATATGCCTACCTCTAGGTGCAGTACTTAAAATATTGCTTTAAATGCCAAATCCCTGAATGCTGTATTTAGGCACTGCACAGGAGCCAGCGTGATAAGGGCTGGGACGTGTCAGTAACAAAGGAGAACATCCTGGACTTAATGTTTCACCTAGACTTAAGTGCATGTTTGATCTTGGCTGTCACAGACAAGTCTGTGAAACTAGGTTTCAGAGTCTCAAACTTCTTCCTCATTTTATGCAGCCACATCACAACTTCTCCTGAAACATAGCTGCCAGGGAAGCAGAAGGAAGGGGAGGATGTGCCACCCAATTTCTTCATAACAGACAAGTGGCTAGAGGATGCATCCAGAACTGAAATCCCTGTGTGTTAGTAAATCCCTGGTTTGCACTTCTGGAAACTTCTTTTCCTTTCTTCCAGGCTGTAGACAAAACTGGAGATGGAGCTACTCTCCATCTATCTTGCTCAAGCTAGATCTCAGGAAAGGAAGGAGTGTTGCTGGTGCCAAAGTACCTCCTGAATCTGGTGGTTGAGTTCTCTATTGAAAACATGCAGTGTATCAGATTTGCTTCGTAGGCCAACCCTTTAACCACGAGGTTATCCCTCCATTCTTTATAGTGCCAAAGTGGTTTTATTTTTTCATAAAACTGAGTGATCTTGTCATCAGTGGTTGCTTATGACATGCAGGTGTTAGGAAAGAAATGAGTAGTGAAGAGAAATTTGGCTGATGAGTAAGTACATAGAGATTTGCTGCCTACACTTTTTGGTTTCTGCTTTTCTGTGAGTGATAGCACGGTTGGTATAAATAGTGACTGTGTCCTTATCTCTAAATGCTTCATTAGAATTAGTCAAACTTTTACATGTGAAGACAGGAATTACCTCTTAAATTCAACTGTTCAGCTGAGGTTTCTTAAACAAAATCACAACATCCATTTTGTTTTTCACAGAGATGAGTGGAATTGTAATACTTGTGCTTCTGAGCATTAATATTCTGGATTTGGTCTGCATATAAAGCATTACTGCTGGTGAAAGAACAGAGGAAATTCTTCTTTGCTCTGCTTCCAAGTGCATTAATTTGACATTGGTAAATAGTTGGAATAGCCTGGGAGATGGCTTTCTTCCACATGCCTTATCTTGGAAAGACAGTGATGGACAAGGCAGTGAAAGCACTAGAGGCAGTCCAAAGACAGATATTTATTCAGAAGTGATTGATCCATTCAGAGGGCTTGAAATTGCATTTGAAATCCTGCTCTCCTTTGACTGCTTGTGGTTTAAGAACTTACTGGAGGACTGAGAAAGAGGATTTGTGTTTTCCCACAACCCCAGCTGAGCATTTCGATTAATATACTTTTTTCCGTGGCAGCCCCAGCCCTCCTCTTGACTCCAGCTGCTGGTTTCCATGCGTGCACCTTCCCCTTCCCTGCGCCAGAGCTGCACTTGGAGTGCTTGTGCGAGTATGCTTGGCTGGGGAACTGATTTGGCTGCAAATAACCGCTTTCTTTCGGCAGGTTATTTTTCATCTAGGCCAGTTTCCTCCTCAGTCCAGTTCTTCACGTGGCCTCGGGCCCCTGTGCTAGCACTGCGGGAGGGGCTGTGCTAGAGCAGGGGACCAGCTCCCCAGGGTGGCAGAGGCTGCTTAACCTGGGCCGCTGCCAGATATCTTGCTGGGACCCGCAGCCATGCTAACCACACCTCTGAGGATGTGGCTGCTGCTGTTTACGCAGCCCCAGGGTAGCATTCGGCTGTCCAGGGGATGGGGGGACTGCAGCTCAGAAATGTGGAGCTCTATTAAAGTTGACAGGGCTGTGCTGATTTACATTACCTGAGGACCTGGTGCACGCTTTCTGTGTGTCTCTCCGCGTGTTTACGCTGCTTTCATCACATGCTTTACAACTAGTGATTTTTATAAATATCCTCCTGCCTCTCTGCTGTCTCGCTTCCCTCTCGCTGCTGGGCATCTCTCTCCCTGCCATGCAGCGACTGGAAGGTCAGCAGCACTCTGGCGCTGGGAAAATGAGCCCCACGGACACCAGCGAGGATGCTTGGTCCCTCCCGCATTCAGTGAGGAAATTCACAGTTTCTTTTGCTGCTGAGGAAAGTGTTGCGGACCACGGCAGTCCAATCGGGAAGAAGGCTCTCAAGGAGTGGAGGCCAGCTTGGCTCAGCGCTGCAAATGACCAAGCTGATGCCATGAGTCTGAGGCAGGACATGGCGAGGTACTCCGTGCTGTGTAGCCATGGGAAGATATGATTTCAGAGAGGACTGAAACTTCCAGAGTGAGCCATTCTTCTGGTGATTTCTTCTTGGTGTAAGAAAAGAAACAAGGCAAGCTAAGCTGAGGTGCCCAGTGGTCTGTGGTGGCTTGCAGAGAGACCAGCAGGAGACTCAAAGCACCACCACACTCCTGGGCAGGGGATGCTTGACATTTCCCTCACCGGGCAGAAGAAGCCTGGCATTTCCCTCATTGAGGCTCGCAGCCCCGATGCAGCTCTGGGGAGTCTCTGTGTGTTTATGTGATACTGTTATTTCTGTGCTTCAGGGCTCTCTGCTGGTTACCAGTGAAAGCCCTTAAGCAGTGTTTTACTCCTTCCTGCAGTATTTGGCCTCTGGATTTGTGTGAGGGCATTGACTGTCCTTGGAGTGCTGGAGTCTGGGCACAAGCAGAGGGATGGGGCGCAAGTGGAGGAAAGTGCTGGTGCGACGCTGGCTTTAGTCTCTCAGATTTCTGCTTCAGTTGTCCTGCTTGCATACTAAGGGTTAAACTGATCCCCAGGTCAGGGTGGGAGTAAATTTTCCCCCTCAGGCTGTTTGTCAGGGGTTTCCTTTGCCCTCCATTATCCATACCAGAGGTCATCTGAAGGCCCTTTTGCAGGCCCTCTGGCCCCAGCCTTTGCACTCTCTTGCCCTTTCCTGAGGCACAAGTTGTGGCTTTTGATGGGTTGTGACAGGTCTCACATTTGCTCCAGAGCGCTGCAGCATTCAGCAGGCCACTGTAGTAGCATATGGGGACAACATGCTGGGGACCTTTCTGAAACAGACAAAGGCTATGTTTGCAGTGGATGGCAATGAGACCCCAGTGGTCCCCTCAGGCCAGGATCCCAAAGGCTTGGTGCTGCTCTGGGTAAACGAAAACATTAGTGGGTAAGAAAAACCCTGCGGCAAGGATTTTCGTAGAGGTTTTGCAGCAATTCCTTTCTCGGGGTCGGGAAGACTGAACTGCACAGTGGATGCATCCACCAATGCACAGCAGAAGTCAGGATAATTGCAATGCTCTAAAACTTCACTTTGGTATTATAGACAGCCTAAAAGCAAGCTAGAAATTATTTGACTGAGAAGGTCCCAGTTTGTGGTTTTGCATGCGTATTTTCCTGTTTTTTTGAATGTTTTCAGTTTGTTGTCTGAAAGATATGCAGAGAGGAAACAGTCTGTGTGATTATAAAACTGGGGAAGCAGTGAAACTGATTAGACATGAGATGCTGTCAAATGCATCAAGTAAAAGCACTAGGGAAAATATCTCTCTTGCTCAGTAGTGTTAGAAAGTTAAAATGAGTAAATATAAAGATACACAAAGAAAAGCATGGTTTAAAAATTGGCCACATTTCTGCAAGACTGTGACACCATCCGAGCAAACTAGGATTATTCTTAAATACTGGAAAATAGATTTGTAAACTTGTTAGCATCAAAATGGGACACCAAAAAGTCCCCACAGTTGTGTTGTACCGTTAGCTCTATGTATGACTTTGAAAAAACTCTCTAGTAAAGCTAATTCTGGGGCTCTTTCTCGACTCTTCATTCTGGGATTTGACCCTGCTTCCCCTTTTCAGGTCTCTAGAGATGCCTTCATTTGTTTCTCTTAGGTCTCGTAGTGACAGCATCATGGGTTTTGTCTTGTGTTGTTTCTTAGTTCTTCAAGGGTCACACAAAATACATCATTTCAAGCTGGGTTTTTATGATACTTACATTCCAGTGTGTCAGATTTTGATTCCTTTGGGCAACTTTATTATGAAATAAAATGAAATACAAAGTATGTAGGTAAAAACAGTTGGCTTATAGATAAGTAGTGATTGACAGTACTTCCCAGGATCAAGCTTAACAAGATTTGAAATTAATAAGGAAAATATATCCCAGTGCCATAAAACCCACATTCGTGAGTGGTGGTTGGTTTTGCAGCTGATGTTTAACTGCCTGGCCTTTTTATAACCAGATTTTGTTTTGCTTTGTTTTCCAATAGCATATCAGCATTCATTCCATTGAACCTTTGTGGATTTCTACATTAGGCAAAAGTGAAATAACAGTCAAAGGAGAAAACTTTACTCGTGCATCAGACATAAAACTGATACTGACTGGAATCACTGGCTGTAAACCAGACATGTGAGTTGAGTTCTGAAAAAGAATTCTCTTTACTTTGCATGGTCAAAATTCTGCCCATATTGCCCTACCAATAGAGTTGTGTGAACAGTTGCCGTGGACCTCTCCTCAGCGGAACAGGGCTGCTCTGTGCTCCTTTAGTTCTGCTTCCACTTTAAATTTCCAAAGGATGGAAATGAATTTGGTGTTTGGGTACAATGCAAGAGATGGGTGGGCAGCTCTCAGCAGTAGTTACGGCAGTTCTGTAGCTGTGGCCCTCTGTACCTTGCAGTAGGCAACAAGGTAGGTCACAGGAAAGCTTCAGCATTTGTTTGACTCTCCTCTGCCTCAAAATGTCCCCCATATATTCTAGGATTCTGCTTGTGAAAGCACAGACATCGTGCCAGGAAAGGGAATCTCTCTTTCAACAGCATGTACTTTTCTCTGTTGATGATTGCACACTGTAACCCTCTGGATAATTAGGCTATCTTCCTCTGAATCAGTCATTTTCAGGTGCAGCTGCAGTGACTGCCTGTGATTACCAAGCCCATTTTACATAGCTAGCACTTGAAAAAGTATTCATGTGGTACAGTTCAATTTTTAGTTCAGCCATGAATTTCTTGGGTACCACAGAAAACAAAAGGAGGGAGGGATGGAGAAAGAAAAAGGAGTGAGAGGAAGGAGAGATCGGGAGGAAGAAGGGGGAATGAAGGAAAGAGAAAAGGAAACTGAAGATTCTCGACTAGCTAATGTGTTGTTAGCACAGGGAAGTACACAGTTTGCACAGCAAAATCACACGTTGCATTACATAGCCTCATCCCAAGGCCATAAAACCAATATCTGTACTGTAATTATTGTGACACATAGCACCTTCCTTCAAAAGATGCCCTACTTCATCTTTTCAACTCCCTGCTCTCTCTTTCCACTTCCATCTGGCAGCTCAAAGAGAGATTCATTCCTCTTCTCTCCTCATCCTTTGCTTTAGGTTATAGGCTTTGTGTAGTAACACCACGGAGTGGCATAGTGGCATCTGTGCTTCACTGTCTGACTGTTTTCTTTCTCCTCCAGCATTAAAGTTAGAAATGTGCTGAACGATACACAAATGACATTTACTCTCCCACCAACACGTAAAGAGGCCAAAAGTATATGCATACAGGTTAATGGGAAAAAATGTTCACCACCAATGACCCTGCATTATGTTTCACCACCATCGTGTCTTGGAATCACACCAAATACCTCCTGGATCAGGTGAATTTGTCATTCTGTAGTTTTAATGTATTTATTAAAATGTTGTCCCACTGAGCTGATATGAGCCTCCTTCCTTGGCCAGACTGCAGCTGATGTAAACTCGGGTAAGTGCTGTAACCTGTTGTGGAGGATGGGTTTATGCTAGTGAACTGATGTAACATTTAACACATAGATTGGGTCATGATGGCTCCAAGATGGGTTCTGTGTTCTGCAGGATTCTGTAAACTCCTTCCTGCCCATCTCAGGTCTCCTTTGTAGAAGGTAGAAACAGTCTCTTCATACTAAAACTAAATCCAAAATAAGGGTAGCACAGATGAATTCAAACTCCAGTTAACTTTGATTTCTTGATACTAATATACCTTTCACCTCTGAAACAGTATCAAGTATGAGTGAATTGGAAATGAAGTGAAAATAATCGCCGCTGCAGCGATATGCACAGCCCTGCATTAGGACCGGGTTCCCTAAAGCCAGAAGAGCCCTTTTCAAGTCTCTGCTGTGTTCTGTGGGAGACTCACAGCTCCAGTGGAAGGAAGACTTACAGAATGGTTTTAAGATACGCTCAGGCACAGCTTTCCACCTGTCCTGCTGCCCGCACAGTTCTTGCCCACTTTCACATTCTTAGTCTGTCTTGGCGTCAAGCACTGGCAAGTGTGGATTTGAGGTAATAAGTTGGGCTGGCAGCTGCGGCAGCTGACGCACGCCCTCATCTCCAGGTGAGGGGCAGCTCAGGCAGCTGGAAATTAATAATACCTTCAGGCACTCCAACTGCGTTCAGCAGAGACTGCGAGCCAGAGCCCTCAGACACAAGCACCATTGTGTGTGCTAAGACAGATGGTCTGAACGCTGCCGAGGATGTTTCCTGTGAGGTGCCTGGCACCGTTGGCTCGTCCTGAAGAAGGCAAGAATTAAGCACAGGCAGGGCTGCTCTGGGGCAGCAGAATACCGTGATGCTCTTTCTTCAAGACAGAATATTAAATGACAGTCTAGTTCTTTGGCTGCATGAAGAGAAAACAAGGTGGAGAGTCCCTGAAAAGGAGTACGCATGTGTGTGCTATCACATCATTTGGTTTTGCAGTAGCAAATGCATTTACCATTACATTATGAGAAGAATGGAAGTACACTGTATAGCTCAAATTATCTTGTCCTGCGGTTTAACTTTATTATATGGGCTGCTACCAAAGCAAAATGCACATGAGTAGTTATTCACAGCTGAAGTCTTAATGCACGACTTATCTGTGGGAAAACAGATAATATTAACGTCCCTTTGTCCCCCCTTTTTTGCAGTGGTGGTCGCAAAATTACTACAATTGGTAGGAATTTCAATGTGGTGGACAGTGTGATTATTTCAGATGACCAGAGATCAAACCTCACTGTAAGTCTTAATCTCCTTTACAATACCAGATAGAGGTCTCTTAAGGGATTAGGTTTTATTCCTAAGATTTCAGGAGGATCTCCATATTTTTCAAACACTTGCGGGCACACATCAGTCACCCTACTGAAATAAATATGACCACTTGTAGGATTACAGTTGCACACATTCTCGGTACAGGATCATGGATACATGTAAGCTGCTCCCCTACATAATTCTCTGAGCCTTTTTTCTATGCTGTAGAGACATGCTCCAAATTTGTCCTTTTTGAGCCTCCATATATGAGTCTCTATTAGGAAGTGTACTCTCTGGCTTTGTGCTGAGAACCCAAATGGTGCTGCTGCCTCAGCAAGGGGCAGGAGACTGGAGCTGATTTTGGGACAAAACCCTTCCTCTGAGGCTGTGAGGGGGTGGGCATCTTGCTACGTCCTGGGCTTGCAGCACAGAGACTAGAAAACAACAGCACTGCCCCAGTGGGACCAACCAATGGGGTGACTGCAGCAGCTCCCTGCTATCAGGAGTTAACTTGGGGAGAGCCAATGCCCAGGGGTGCTGGAGAGCTTGTCCTGCTCTTCTCTTGTCACCTGCATTGAGGGGAAGGAGGGAGAAATCACTGTCACTATTCCTGTCTCACTGCAGGAAATAGCTGCCTTAGCAGTGTGCAATCAACCTTAAAGCAGCGTGGAGAGTGTGATAAATGTGCTTAAAGGTAGACACAAGCTCAGGACTGAAACTTTCCCAGGTTCTCTGCACGCAGCCCTGATCGCAGACAAGGGGTTTAGCAGAGATCGGTGTGAAGTCAGGAAGATGTTAAAATGGATTTGAGTGCCTCTGTTTGTAATTGTGCCCACTGTTGAGTGCTTAATGACTGTTACATCTTTGCTGTTATATTTCTAGGTCTCTAGGTGTCCTGGAAATGTATCTGAATATCATTACTTAACGCCAAGCCTGAGCCATGCAACAGAGGGTAAAGTTGTTGATATGATGTTGAAAGTGGACACTACCTTTATACCCTGTGTCAAATTACACTATCACCCTGACCCAGTGTTCATTAACTACCAGCTGCACACTGAGCTGGATCCTGATCTGGAATTAAAAATATATGTAAGTTTGAAAGTAATAAACTATAATTCCTTATTTAAAACAGTCATTGGAGGTCATGTTACTACTTACTGTATTTAGTGACAGTTTGTCTTCATTTTTTTCCCTCTAGAAAGAAAATGACAACTTGAATATTTCTAAAACTGAGGTAGAGGTTTATCTGTCGTATCTGAGTGGTGCACAGACCAAAAAGATATGGTTCAGCGTCCAAAACATTACCAAAAAACCAGACCGTAGCACCATACTGTGCAAATTCAAGAGGGAAGGAACAGATAAGATTGACTTTTCCACAGTGAAAGTTTTTGTAAGTGGAATCCCCTTTTGTTGCAATTTAACAGTGTTTGGGTGTTTGCACAAATGTAGTAAAAGGTAGCGTTAATGCTCTGGTCATGAATACTCTTTACAGATGGAGGAACAGGGATGCATTTTTTGTTCTCCTGGTACCTGGTAGTCCAGTTATCTTCCTGACATCTAAGCGTGCCTGCCTGGCTTAGGTACCACTGGCGGGACTGAGTTCATTTACTGTCTGGTTACTGCTGCAGTGTCAGAGGAAAGCTCTGCAGGCCAAGCTGAGCTCACTGCTGCTGAGCTCTGGGAGAGCAGTAGTTCATCAGACCTCTGGCTGCACCACAGACATCACTGACAGAGACATCACAGGAGAGTCCCTCATCTTAGATCTGGAAGCAATCTGCTGCTGCAGCCTGGCCGTGAGGAAAAAGGATTGTG